CAAGGTCGAAAGCGCTCGTGGTAGCTTAAGTAGCGAATAACTCTAACAACAACCAAGTTGTAGCGAGAAGTCTAAGTATCTAAACGTGATAAAACCAAACAGCGCAATTATATTGTATAATGAAGTTCCAAAACTCAGAATTTTTTGCCAAAATCAGAGTATCTGGGGACTCGTTAAGATGCATTTACATTGATGAATAGAATAACCCCTGTCTGCATTTTCATCTTTCATAAGGCTACGAACGTCTTTTGCTATGCTAGCGTTCAATCAAGTTTTCCACTTAAAAGTGCATTAGAAATTCCAAAGTCACGCGGAAAAATGTGATGAATTTTAGTTTTGGGGTGGAATCACAGTGGGCGCTCTGCTTATCCACCGTGACATTAGAAGCGATACTGAGGTTATGGTATGTAGTTGTAAATTAATTCGAAGAAGTGCTTTGATGAACGACCGTTTTTAGAACATTCGACTGTAAAAAAGTTTAAAAAAAAAGAATTTTCAAGCGACTTGAACAGCACACGGTTTATCCAAAAATGAGCAAAATAACTGAATCAGGATATACTCTTGATTGATATTTCAGATGAGTCGATTTTATTCGAAAAAGGACTACGAGCGACAAAGATTGAGTCGAGCAAAACGGAACGATAATTTCTTTGAAACTGTTGCGAACGTTGATGAGATTTCTACAATGGATATGGATATATGTAGCTCTGTAAACGTGTTCACTACGAATGATAACGAAACGAACGTTCCTCCAACCCTTGTTCATACCGATAACACTAATAATGATGAAATCGATGAACCGCTATCTGTAAACAATGATCATGATGAGCAAGAGCCGAGTTCAAGCGAGAGTAGTGGTGAAAGCGATATCGGCGAGATAATTTCATCCTTAGATGACAACAAACAAACAAATAAAACTATTTTCAACATGTCCATTATCCATTTATGAAGCGTCAATTTCGATTATTAAATTATTTCATTGTTTAAATTTAAATAAAGCTAGTATTAAGACTTTACTACGTGGATTTCGTGAATTATTACCAATGGCTAGTAAATTACCTCTTACTGTTCCAGGTTTAATGAAAATCTCAGGTATTATTGACTACACAGATGTTCAACTAGTATATATGTATTTACTTTGTAGAAAAGCTGTAAAGGTAAAGATGTGTAGGACAAAACTATATTTAAAATCGATTGTAATTAGTTCCTGCTGTAATTAGGTGTTCGGTTTAAACGGTTTTAAACGATCCGGAGTGAAAACGAAAACGGGATTATGTTTTTCACGGATCAGATCAAAGAGGCTCGGCAACTTCGGCGTAGTTTCCAATAAAACGAAGGTAATATCCGATTAACCTGAGAAAAGCACCGACGTCTTCCGGTCGAGCTTGGATTGGAAAAGCTCGTGCCGCCTCTAATTTGTCCGGGTCCAGCCGAATTCCTCCGGCGCTCACAATATGGCCGAGATATTTTCGTGACACGACATTACCGCGAACGATATTACCACGAACGGCGTTACCGCGAACGACATTACCGCGAATCGATATTTTGAAGGGGAGCAGGACAATTGGTCGCTTGTAAGATTCTTGCGTTCTCCAGTAGTATGAGGGTGAGGGGTGAGGGGGGGTTGCACTGCTATAAAAATCCTGATTATATACAGACCAATGTTGATAAATAGTGAGCTTCAGTTTATCCTGTACCGAAGAGAAAACCGGTCAAACACGATAAGCAATGAGACCGGATATCTGTAATTGTATCACATAATGACTATTAACTACATAACTTCGCCCAGGTTTCAAAACATGATATACAAAATACAAAATCAGGCTCATTTATTCTTCTTTTCCAATAAAAATAAAAAATTCCGAAGAATTTTATCATCAAATAGTTACGCGTTCAGGCAGGTAGGGTACAGGGTGATAGAGAATTTCAAGCGCTATTAGAATATGTAATTGCTTTTGTAAAAATTTCTATATGCTTAATAAATTTAAAAACAAATGAAAAAGGAAGAAAATGCAGTTCGTGGGAATATGAGGGTGTCTTCACTGTAGGCGTAATATTTCTCCAACAAATAAGTGCAAGTCAAAATACAATATACAAGGTGATAGAGAATTCCGAGCTCCATCAGAATATGGGATTATTTTCGTAAGCGTATCTGTATAAGGGAGATATCTTTAAAAAACTGACTGAAACTATTTTTTTCCAGGGGATGTAACCAAATCAACGATAATATTTAATAATCACTAAATGTTTCAGTCTGATAAATCTTTAAACAAAGGAGATATTTTTTAATGAGGTAGCGATCGGTTAGAACGTGGTACTAGAAAGAAATGGGAAATATTTCTCTTCTTCTAGCAAGTCAAATGAAGAATTCGGAATGCTCACAGAAAATGTTGGTGGCTTTATTTCGTTCCACAACTTCCTCTCAACAAGCATTGATAAAGCATTATCGCTCTCCTTCGCTCTACCTTCACTCGATGACGTGAATATGAAGGCTATTTTGTTCGTTATCCATGCCGATCTGACTCTCATTTCGAGTCCCATTGGCCATCTGAACGAAAATCTCAGTTACTTTTCCCACGAACAAGAAAGAGAGCGATAACGCTTTATCGATGCTTGTTGAGAGGAAGTTGTGGAACGAAATAAGGCCACCAACATTTTCTGTGAGCATTCCGAATTCTTCATTTGACATGCTAGAAGAAGAGAAATATTTCCCCTTACATACCGTTAATCATGGCCCAAAAAAATGATGGTTCTACTCAACAGATCTTAATCATGATTAAACAGTTAAATAATCACGATTAACCGCATCGTGTAACTGTAATGATATTCTGATAATGGGAAAAATCCTGTTAGAAGAAGAACAAGGGAGTTTACTATTTCAGAAGTTTTAAAGAAAGCATAACGCTTTACTCTAAGCTAAATATATCATTTCATTAAAAACTGGACAAAACTGCACGTCTTTTAAGCCTAGAACGAAGTTTTAAAAGTTATTCAATAAGGTCGAAAAAATCAAACTTTTCACTGAGTTTGGCGGCAAGGAACTGTGGATGTAAAGAAAATGAATGTCAACACTTTTTTGATTTTTTACCACCATATCCATTCTGATAATTCTTTCTGGTAATGAGTAATAATTTGAATACAAAAATAATGACGATGGCAGGAGCTTTGCAAATCATTTTAATATTTATTTTATTATAAACATCAACGTTTCGCTGTTTCAAACACCATTGTCAAGACAATAGTGTAAAAATGAATCTAACACGATTATTTAAATATATAATAAAAATAAACAGCATAGTTATCAAGTAAAAAATTCTGTTGATAAGACAATTCCGGTGTACTGTGCACTAACAGTGATTAATAGAAACTATGTAAACAGCCTTATCAATAGAATTTTTTACTTGATAACTATGCTGTTATTATTTTTATTATATATTTAAATAATCGTGTTAGATTCCTTTTTATACTCTTGTCTTGGCAACGCTGTTGAAACAGCGTGACCATCAACCTTTCTCTCACGCTAAACAAATCCATTGTGAACAAAATTCTTGAGAAGCCTAGAAAAAGCTTCAACGCTTACTAAGTTTCATCCAAATGTCAATAATTGGAGATGCGTACTCAAAAAGTTTATAATGCGAACAATGGTGTGACTTTGTGTGCATAGTATTCACTTCCTACTGCACATGCCTTTTCCTTAAACTCATCCTGTTAGATCATTATTTATCGGATTTAGGATCAGATCTCATTTAACGTTCGACATTGTTGTGAAAGATTAAATCGGGTATGCCTTATGACGGATTTACAAATGGAATGCATTTTTTTTAGTTCAGTTGTTTTCTATTCAATTCAGACGTTTACCTGAAGTAGTTTTGCATTTATTAACGACCGTTCTATTTGTATTAAATGGAAGTTCCCTAATAAATATACTTGTGTCCCAGTACTTGGGATGAGCTGTACAAGTGGGATACAAAAATCGAACGTTTTTTCAATTTCTCCGTTTCTGCTATGTATTCGTATGGGCAGTTCTTATTAGGAAATATGTCCTTATTAAGAACGAAACGACCCTAACTCATTCTACCGGTTATGACATAATCAATTTTGACGGAAACTAATTAATTTTTTCATCATCAGATTCCGAAGACTTTTTTCTACTTATGTATGTATAAAAGCGTACAACTTTCTTCGAACTTTCTTAATTCATCTAAAGGACAAGAAGTTTATTTTTGATTTCAAAAACGAGTTATCGACGAACAAGTCGATTCATTTTGTTTTCTTCCTACATAAAATGGCTTTTAGCAGGTGTATAGCTCATGGATGTTTTTTTCAGTAAAATTTTCATAACCTTTTAGTGGAAGCACCCCGTCAACATATAAAATGTCATTTTTAGAGAACCCATAGGACCACAACATATAATTATTATTCCAAAAAGTAATCCAAAGAACAACCAAAACTAAACTTATAACAACGCTTAAATTATTTAAATTCAAGTGAATATTTACACGATCAAAATTTCTGGGAGCTTTTTCTAGAGTCTGTTGCCGCTGCTTCCACCGAAAATTTCAGTGAAAATCTCGGATAGCGATTGAGTAGCTTGTACACCAACCGTCTGAGGCTTTTGTGCAATGACTATTAGGATTCATGGCGATTTGTAGCAATAATCAATTTAGAGTTTTTAAAGAACAGAGTAGGAACTAAATGAGGGCCAGGGCCTGCTTTCAGAGTAATTGTTTTTTTGATTGAAGTCTTTGTTCCTCAAAAGACTTTAGATATGAGGGCGATCAGTGCCGAGTTTCCTTTGAAAAATCGTTTTTGAAACTAAAAAGCCATAGAGTTATAGTTAACTGGAAACGAGATTTTGGAATCCGAATGTTAGAATTCCTTCTTCTACAGATGAATAATGTGACCTTGGAATTTATTTTAGATTCCAGGGACATTAATACATGAGAATTTACTCATAATCATTTGGTCAGAGAGATTTTCGATTACGTTTTCGATCATTACTTTCTAAAACATTAGAAACAAAATAACCACATTACGATTTGACCCACCCAATAATGACTGATATATACGAATAATATCGTGAATTTTATGTAGCTTACCTGTATGAGTTCCATCGATGTGACTTACTTATATAAGTTTCGTTTCGGGTAGATATTGGGATGATCAGTCTGGCCGGAAGACCTTTAGCTTTTTTTCCATAAAATCTTAATAGTACATTCGGAAGACATGATTTTTTTATCATTTATAGTACTCATCTAGAGTGAACGATTTACCATCATTTCG